AACACTAGAGGAAGACACATAACCAGGAACAAACTTCATTGCAAAAGTAGCTACTAGTATGTGTGTGTGTACATATGTTTATAATATATAGTGTATATATTAGTGTATATACACTGATATTTATACAGATATATATGTGTATATACATTTACATACAGACACACAGATATGTATAGAAGAAAAAAAAAAACAACCCCCACAGCCTAAGGTCTGAAGTGCAGGGAACTGGATCCCCCCGCTAGATCTGTGCACCAGCACAGAATTACGTGCTGCGTATTATTGGGGTTCCAGAAAGGGCTAGCAATACATGGTATGGTGACTCGTGGGATCAGAAGTCTTTTATTGTACTGAACTGTGAGCACACATAAAATCTTGTACCATGTTAAAAAGAAAAAAAAAAAAGAAAAAAAGAAAAAAAAAAGCACCTCTTTGCCAAGTTTCTTTTCGTGCTTGTGCCAAATTCTTTCTTTCTTCAGACACAGAAAACACCATTGCAATGGCTTGATAAGGAGTGTACGTGTGTGGGGTGGTTGTTTCAATATCTGCTCCCTGGGCAATAATATTAGAATATGCTATCTTACATTTTCCAGAAGTAAAGCAGAAGCATTTTGAAGAACTAGTTCCTCCAAAGAACATTGTTTCAGCTCGAAATGTCAGGTTCATCCAAAGGATATGAAACAGTGTTTGTGGTACATGGAACAAAACACACAGAAAGAAAAAGACACTGCACAGCAGAGAATTGCCTGTAGATGTATTTTTATTAAAATTTCATGATTCTTTCTGTTTATATATAATTTATTAGGGCAGTAACAGCAGACCACACAGAGCACTGGTAACAATAGTGGGGGTTTTGTTTGATTACGGGATAGGTAAGCTTTTCAGATAGCCAGAAGCTTGTTTCCATTTTAGAGAAAAAGTCCTCTGTGTGCCTCTGCTTAAACAGGGGCGTAAGTTGCTGCTTAGAGCAGTGCTCCAGAGTTCACTTCCTCTGCTTCATCGAAAATATTCTGAATGTTGAATTTCTTATGAGGCAATGCTGTCGACAGCTGGCCAGGCAAACACACTGCAGAAGAGTGCACTTCAAACCCAAAGACAATCTCCCTCTTTTAAGCCTGCCTATCTGCATTCTTCCCCATAGATCCATCTTAGAATAATCCCTCCGAGTAAATATTTGGCTGAAGAGTACCAAAAATATACCCAACCATGTAAGAAGGAATTGCAATGAATCTTTAATCCTGGAAAATATGGCTCTAGAAGTAAAACAAAAGTAAAACAATCTTATTTATTTATTTATTTATTTATTTTTCACTGGGCTCTTTCTGTTACTGTTTTTATGTTAGCTGAAAAAAGAAAACAAACAAACAAACAAAAACCCACAGCTTGTGTGTTTTCCCTTTGAGGTAACAACTACGAATTGATTCCTCTTTTTCCTCTCACTCAGAATTTGCTAGCAGGGATTTGTTTGAGGAGCTGAAGATGATGTTTCTTTTCAGGCAAGAGTAGTAATAAACTCAAGACAGAAAGCAATAATGGAAGGGCAAAAGAATTCTTAGCTAAATACCTTGTAAACCCTGATGAAAGGGGCTACTGGTGGCTGCTGTCTTGGCCTTGTTTGAGCTGCAGACCTTCAAGGAACGCAAATAGTAGCGGAGCTGCTGTTTTCTTTACAGAGGTGTTAAATAAATATTTTTACAATAAGCCTTTTCTGCAGGACATTTTAAGTACAAAGCATTAAAAAAAAATAAAAAATGCTGCCCCCTGTATTTACTAGCACAAATGTAAATATGTTCTGTGCAACCACAGTTTTAATTATTTCAGCTTCCAGAGGAACATCAAAAAACTCACAGAGAGTGATGAACTGACCAGGAGCATCATTATCATGATCAATGAACAACCACCAGAGACAACCAAAGTGCAAAGAAGGATTAAATCCAACCAGGCACGAATATCTGTTGCTGCTATGAATCACCCCAGCCTTTTGCATATGGAAAATTCATGAGCTCTCCCTGAGTGTTCCTTGCTTCTGTAAATCAGACTGTAAAATAAGACCATACAGGGATTTCAAAAAGAGTCTTTCAGTATTCATAAATGCAGGATTTTGCTTTCCAAAACAAAATAGTAATGGTGTGCAAGACAGAAATAGTGTATTTTATTTCAGCTGCTCTGAGAGAGAGTAGAGAGCGACCATTTGCCGAGTGGGCTCTCTGTGTTGCATGCTTTGTTTAATTATACAAATAAGATTTGCAAAACATATGCAGACAAGAAAATTTTGTTGCAGGAACAGAGAAAAAAAACACACACACAGATTAAAGAAGGAAACATTTGTTTATTAAAAAGGAAAAGGTTCTGGATGGCAGCACAGAGTCAGACATGAGACAGATGAATGTATGCACAGCTGTTCATGTTTAAAGGCAGAATATAGACATAAATACAGTTAGATCTTTGCTCTGCTCTGCTGCTACAGTATTTTTATACAGCCAATTCAAAGGAATATCTGTCATAACTGAACACAAGAAGAAATTTATCAGAAACAGAGCACAGATTACTTCTCTAAGGCCAGGATAAACATAGCCCAGAAAAGCCTCTCAAGCTGTGGTATTGCAAAATAAACTTAATTGTGCAAACGAAACCCACCTTCTGTGGATGATGGTAAATGTTGGATTCAGCTCCAAGTCAGATAGCTTGTTCTTCTGTTTGAACATAATGCAGAAGGTAATTTTCCTTTGCTCTTATCCTAGTTACTGCTCTAAACCAGTAGTGTGAAGCAGGAATGAACTTTAAAAGCAATATGGTTCTTCTATGAGTTATTCAGCATATTTCCAAAGCACACCAGAGAGAGACAGGGGGCTCATGAGACCCCCCTCAAAGTTTTCGTTAATGCACAACCACAACAAGGCCATCCTGAAAAGATGTAAAGGCTCAGGAGATGATGACCAGAAGAACAGAGCAGGCCTTACAAGAACAAGACGAGGAGCTGGTCCATAGGATGTAAATTCTTCCCCAGGGCCGCCACTCTCTAGCCTTGAGGATGTTATCTCTACCAGTTCTGCCAGGCTGCTCTTACCTGTGTTAAGTGAGCAAAATACTGCAGAATTGTTCAACGGCTGAGCAAATATAAAGGCATTTAAGGCTAGTCGGTGGCATTTCATGGTTCAAGTACCACATCTACAAATGAAACAGGTATGAAAGCTAATTTTTGGAAAAGGTTCTGGTGGGGTTCTTTAGAGTACAACTAGGAATTGTTTTAATTTATAAATAAGTACATAGGTTCAGTATGGATTTATGGTGAACATGGAATCTCAACTGTAATGTATATATATATTCCTCATTTTAATATTTATTTCCTATTAAAATTCAATTATCATGCTTTAAAACTGTTTTTGTGTGTTATTTTTCTGTTCTCTAATTTTTAATGTGAGGTTTAAGTATTATAACATATCTCTGTTTCACTTCTCATTCACATGCAGTTTTGACAGCCACAGAACAACAAGTCATCAAGTTTCAGGAATCTACTTGTAGTATTTTATTCAGATTCGGAATTTCTCAGGGATCTCATGTGTTACCACAATAAAACTGTTATGACATAAAACCCCTCCTAGTTATGCGTAATTTTTATTTCAGATAGTAAACAAATCTGAGAAGTTATGCTATCCATATTCAAGGCTACAGGAGTTGTTTTTTTTTATGTATAGTCCCTCTTCAACATTCAGACAAGCTCTCGATGTGCGTGTGTGTGCATACACAAACAAGTTGTGTCACCTTGTAGCTGATGGGATTGAACGTGGTCTAGAAGACATCCAGGGGAAAGCATCATTACAGTCGTCTTTAACTATTATCATTCCTCAATGTTTTTTGTTTGTTTGTTTGTTTGTTTGTTTGTTTTTCTGTATGGATGAGTGATGGGACAGTTCAATGTTTCCTTTCCCAGACATCAGCCAAGGCTGGAGAACCACTTGCCTGTGACCAGTGGTGCCAGCTCGGCAGGCACAGACCCGCCTGGTAGAGCCTTCAGCCTCTCACGAAGCACCCGGCTGTGCTGACACCCAGCTGGGCTGTGATGCAGGTTTCTGGGCACATCAGTTAAAGGAAACAGAAGCCCAGTAAGTACAGCACATGATTCTCCTTTTATTAAACCTTTTAACTTGTCAGCATCACCAAGTTTCCAAATTCATCAGGCTCATGTTTTCCTCAAATTGCCCACAAGATTAAATTTATCGGAAGTTTAAATGGATTGATTAAGCCCTGTTTCTCAGAATCATAACATGAAAATAATATAGTGCCAGAACACACAAGTATTGTCTCCCTAGACTAGGGCTGAAATCCCAAAACAAGAAAAAAGGAAAGAAAGGATGAAAAAAATAATATGATGCAATGCTGTTTCATGCAAAAATTTAACATGGTCACAGGGTATACTTTAATTATAGAAAACACATTTTTATTCAAAAATCACTACTGTTACCCAAGAATATGCTACACTGAGTATCAGGTTAAAGTCACTTTATCTGGTATTGGATTTTCAGACTGATTCTGCAGCAGAAGAGCTGAGCATTTCCCAGCCTGTGACCAGTGTGTTTCAGGGCTGAAAAGAGAATGATCCTCCTCTAGATGGAGGCAGATTTCAGTTCACCTTCTGCCAAAGCAGCTGTTGAAGCAGCTGTTGAGGGACCATGCTATTAAATAATTAGAAGAACTGACCAGTGGATTCATTTCAATGAATGATCTATGGGGCAACCCCACAAGAAATGTATAGGTGAACACAGGAGTAGGGGCTGGAAAGAGCATGCAGATGTGGTTTGTACCTCCGAAGTTGTATTTGCTTCCATGGAAAATATTTGTATGACTACAACCTGCCTGTGTGACAGTTATTACAGTATAAGTCTTTATCTATAATGGTGAGGCAGTATTAATATCGTAGTTATTCTGTGCATAAACAAATTGACATATTTTTGCAATGTTCTCTGCTATTTGATTAAAAAAAAAAAAAAGCAAAAGGACTCAAGTACCATTCACACAAGCATATTTATTATATAAATACTTTATAAATTACAAGATTTTAATTATAAATGTAAACATTTCTAGGAAAATAATGTTTTATATTCTTATTAATGTTTACAACTAATATAAGGCACATAGTGCAAAAATACATTTCTGATGCAGAGATCACAAAATAATTACCTACATGTGTTATCTAAAAGTAGCTGCTTAGACTTATGTGGTACAGTCTTGGTTTTAATTAATACATATTGCTAATTCATGGCTAACTCCTTGTGGGTAGAAATATGATATAGCTGCCATTTGATCTAACAATTTTACTGGCATGCAAAACAGATATTTGGTTTACAGAATGCACATTGTCAGAAAAAAAAATAAAAAAAATATCTAGTTATCCAATACATCATACATGTTATTATGCAGGTAGTAAATTTTATTCAGAATACCTGAGTGTTGGCCCTGAAACACATTATCTTTATAAGCATATACTTCTATGGTTCTGGACTGTAAGGCGATCCAAAACAACAAATCATCTAGATAATTTTTAAAACTGTATAACTCTTTCATATACTTACTTTTCTGGAAGACATAATTTTAACTAGCAGATGTTAGAGCTTTACTTATAGCCATTCAAAAATATCAAACGGAGTCAAAGGTGGACACCAGCCATGCTGCCTCTGCCCCAGAGTTTTCCTAAGGTTACTGAAAACTGTATTGAGTTGGAATATAAAAGGGAGGCATGCTATAGCCATTACGAATATGCTAATGGAATAAGGGGTATATGGAAAGGGTTTAAGTAAATGCATATTCATACAATCACGTACAAGTGGTATGTAAACAAAACATGCTCCTTTTACAGTATTCTTAGCTGAGAGGCAGGGTTTAAAATCAGATTTCCAAGCAATTTTTCTCCTTATTTATCTCTTTCTGTAACCACAAAAAATAAGCCTAGATGTTTAACATGTGCTATAGAGACTGTAGAGGTTAAACCACACTTTCAGCATTGCTGCTAGTATTTGAGCACCACAATAGATATAATGACAGGTATGGGGAAAAATGCTTTTACTGACAGAGAAACACAGATCTATTGATCTCAAGGGAAAATACACTGGTTATATAGTTTTCTGCTGTAAATTAAAAAATTGACAGAAATTCCTAACAGGTTTCACAAAGTTGAAAGATCTGAAATTATTAACCCTTTTCTCTGTATAGGAATGACTTTTATTTCTTTTCTACATTTTAGTGTAGCTGATCAAGAAAATCAGTACAGTATGTATTTTACTGAATACTGCATACAGAATTGCACCAATAAGTTGTAGGTAATGTATTGCAATTATGGCACAGTTCAAGGTGTTACCCATGTTAGCAATCTCAGTGCAATTTACTGGTTGATATACCTACTATACATTGAATGAATGCCTCTCCATGAAAACCTGAAGGTTTATGATTGTGATTTACATACTTGTTAGCTCACAGACAGGTAGCACCTCCCCAAATAAACACTGAAGAAAACAGAACGGAATTCTTAGCAGTGAGCATTACAGTAATGAGTATTACAGAGATGAAAATTAAAAAAAATACATATATACACAGCACCTACACTTTGCACCTAAATGACAGATGTTGCACTTTGATGTTCCTACCACACCAGAGTTCTCACTGTATTTGAAGCTGAAGACCAGTAATTGTGTTAGGAATACATTTCCCACAAAATCCTCCACATCTTCCATATATTTTAGTACCATCCTGGAAATGAGACAGAGAAAGCAATCAATCAAGAGAAGTAACTGAAATCATAGTTGTACAAAAAGATCCTTGAGGTTTGCACACAATAGACATTTTGACAAATCAAACCTAGAAACACTAAATCAAGTGAGCATCAAATTAATGGAACAGGCACAGAGATCCGTTATCATTAGTGTTGTATACCTTCTTTCCCAGCTTACTATCCAATGTTTTCCTAAATTATGCATCTTTACTCTTCTTTTTCAACAGATCTTTTGGCTTCCCATATGAATCAAGTTGGAGGTAAGCAATCTGTAAGAATCTTCTGAAGTAGAAGATTCAATAAATCTTCAATAAAATGGTATTTTTTATGAGGCAATAGTAGGTATCTCCAATTTTTTAACGAACCTAATTAATATGGAAATAGGCCCTTAAAACCAGTAAGAGAAGGCTAGGTAGGCAGTGTTGATTTGAATTAGATTCTGGGAGGTGTTATTAAACATTCCATGAGATTTTTAAGATGAAATTATCAGGCTTAGGTCTCATACTACACTTGAAATAAAATTTAGACAGATCAGAGACCTTGAGCACTATAGTTGATTCATAACTAGCATTGCACTAGAATGTCATCAGCAGCGCCTCCTGAGACATATTCCAAGCCATAATTGTAGGTAAAGGAAAACAACATTGACTTACGTGAGATTTGTGTATGTCAGCAGTTGCATAGTTGCCCTGAGCAATCCACCTAACTGTACTGGATAATCTCAGTCCTGTACCAGCCAAATTAATGCTGAACTGTCCCTAACAGAACAAAAACAAAAGGTAAAACACAGAGCTTTTGAACAGAGTTCAAAACACTAAAACACTTTACTTTGGCATAGCTACACACATAACTTAGGGTATATTTAGTTATACCTAAAGTACTCAAAAGGGCATGCTTAACCTAGCTTAGTTACATCACATATTTCCTAATTTTTGACTCTCAGGACACAGAGATGCATGAACAAGTTACTCTGCAGTAAGTAGCACCTGCGAAACAGCTGATCTGCAGTATCTGTTTGAAGAGCCTGAATACAGAACTAACAGCACTAACCTTGGTAAACAAACTGGGGTACAGAAAATGATTAAATTGCATTCACACAGAAGTGCAGTATGCTTAAAACATATGTTAGCTCCACAAAGAGCCTAACTCTTGTTTTAGGCAACACTGTAATCTGAAACCCCCATCCAGTTCACTGAAGGCCTGTATTTCTGTATTCAGACCTAGTTAAAATTACTTAAAACACAAGATCAAAGTTTAAGGAAAGATAAAATCTCCATTACATATTGTAGCTTCTGTATTCTATTGTTTCTGTAGATTTCTATTAACGAATAAAGCAGCTGGGGGATATTCATTCAAATAGTGTGAAATGCTTTCCACAATTAACAGGCCCAAAGTGACTACATTTACAGGGGTATCATTTTGTAAAAATAAATTAAAAGTGCTATGTGCAGTTACAATGACAGCATAACAGCTGTCTGTCGTGCAGTAAACTCAAGACCAGGAACAGATTTCAAGGACAGAGTGAAGTAACTGAGGCTTTTTATGTACATACAGACTCAGAGCAGTAGTTTCAATGCCCATCTCACAGATGAAAATGCAGCAGTGAAAAACACACGAGGAAAGTGTCTTCCAACAAAAATTACAGGTTGCAGATAGACATGTATTGCATTAAGCCTGAAGAGTTTGCAGGTTGAAGGCATCCAACATTGTAATGAATTCCAACTGTTTCCATGTTAGGGACTAAGTTTGTCTAATTTAGGTACTTTTAAAATTAGGTACTTTTTAAATTAGGTACTCTAATTTGTACCTAAACTGTAGGTCCTAGCAGCCCTTGAATGCATCCATGCATATAGCCTGTCAATTTTAGGCACCCAGGTTAGACAGAAAACAGGGATTCACATCCATGCAAGTCTGAGCTAGTGAGTCGTAACTCCCTTTATACTCAGAGTAAAGAAATATGTGCTTCCAGAGGATGGTCAACCATAAAATGTCTAATAGGGTAAGGTTAGAGGTACTGTGTTCTAGGGGATCCCATTTCTGCCAGTGGACTCCAGGGGCAGCCTAGGTTGACTAGGTCAGACTAGGGCTATGTCTGTGTTATCAATTACGCTGAAGTATGAGCAAACCTGTAAAGTGAAAAAGGTGGGTCAGAGAACCTAATGTACAGTATGCAATACACAAATCAGGGTTTTACACTGGGCTAACTCTCATCGAGTCCCACAGACTGAATACTCATTAGCAGTTGGCATTCACTAGGGTCCTTCTGGAGCTTTGATTTACTTTCATCTGGAGGTTCATGTGTCCCAAGACTGCTCCATGGTGCAAAACTACAAGCAGTAAACTGGGACAATAGAGAGATTCGCTTAAGAAACACCAGCCAATCCAAACTAAAACAATAACGTAGACACACCAATAGATGTATAACTTGAATTCATGTGCTAAACAGGATCAATTTCTCTGGCAGCCTTCAAAGCTATGCAGAGTCAGGAAAGAAACAGATGAGAAAAGAAAAAAATCACAGGGTTAAATAAAAGGAGAAGGAAGACTGAGAAGGGAAAACAAAGGATACCTCACATCCAGGTATTCAAGAGGGAGGGAGAGCAATACATGAAAGCAGTACAAAAATTGATACAGCTACAGGGAGCCTAGAGGCAAATCATGGAGTAAACAATTTGTGGTAGAAACAGAAAAAAAAAAAAAAAAAGAGAGAGATGGTGAAACAGGAGAGAAAACAGTAAGACAAACACTTATAAAGTCATACAAAGACCAGACAGAACAGATTTTAGGTGTTTTAGAGTTACAGCTCTAAACCAGTCACACAGACTTTTTTTTTTTTCTCCTCTGTGCACATTTCAAGGGAAGAAGGAATCATAAATACCTGCGGACATCTGGCAGCACTGTAGCAATCTCCAGCTGTAGCAAATGGAACTGCTCTCCCAAGTATAGTCTGAGCAAAAAGAAAATCTGTGGCTAGAAAACAGAAAATTACTCAACACTAGAAGTGCTGCATTAGAAGATCAGGTGAAAACTATGTGAAACAACAATTTTTTTTTTCTCTTTTTTGACATTCTGGTTTATGCCACATCAACCCAATCTACAAGCCCAGTTTGCTTTCTGAGACAGGATGGGGATAGGAGGAGGACTGACATAAGTCCACGTGATCTGGCTGTGGCTCAGCTTGCCACCTTCAGACGGGCTTCAAAGTGCTGCAAGATCCCCCATCCTTTTGGCCTTTCTGCATTGGTCTGAGAGGGATTAACGATGACATGGCAAGACTCTCCCAAGAAGAATGTGCCAGTGGCTAAAAGGAAATGGAATAATGGGAACAAAATATTTACAAAATCACTTAAATATGAAACTGTAAAATTCATGCCACTTGACCACGTGGGACAAACTAACAAATTTTTTTCACCCCAAAATTGCATCATTGGATCCACAAGTGTGTTCAAATGAAAGTTTGGTAATCACGACCATGCACAGTATCAAGAAAGGCTCACATCAGCTAAAACTACTAAAATGCTTACTTCTAATTTGCATGGAGTCTACATCAAATCTTATTTTGCTAAAAATTGTGAAGCCAGCTGCAAGGTAATCATTTCGACAGGCACAGTCTTGCCTTCTGCTTCCATTGAAAGGACATTCATATGGATTCTGTAACCTAGAGAACAGCAAGGATTTAGTTTTCCTTTTGACATTTTTCCATAACAGAACATCATAGTGAAAAATAATTGCATTGAACTATGCCACATATAGAAAATTAACCGACAGTTACTGAACAAGAAGCTCAGCCATTAGCCTTGGCTCAGCTGAAATACTAATGTGGATTCAATCATTTTCTACTAAAATCAAGATAGAAAAAAAATTAGAATCATTTAATGCAATTATCTCAAGTCCAGCTTGGAAGTATCCACATTTCTGCACATATTTATATGCCTAGATATCCAAAACAGAAGATGAAGTAAAAAATATATATATATTAATCTGTTCCTATCAGATAAATTTTATTAACTCTTATCAGGTAACTATTATTTTATTGTTTTATTTTGGGAGATATAAATGCACTTCGTAAAATTTAAAAAAACACATTTGTACCTGAATCCATATACTTCAGAAAAATTGTCTGCTTCACCTTTTACCAACGTCAAATATTCTCTGGGATTCTCTAAATGCATGCCTGAACAATAAATCTGCCAGAGAAAATACAACCCTTTAGCAAAATCTTTATTAAAAAAGTATTATTTAATAAAAATATGTGCTCATAAATATTAAGAGTACCTTTATCATCCTTCCTTTAATGTTGAGTAGGTATTCACCGTCTTTTCTAATCCCTTTTTTAACCTGGATATCTTTGCAGGTAGAAAGTATTTCACCTTCAAAGTGAAGGATTGAATCATATTAATATTTCCTGATCAGAGTTTAGCTGTAGGACTTTTCCATAATTATTCTCCAAATATAATCATTGCTTTTAAATAAATAAACTGGGAAAACATTAAGTTCACCCTAAAATTACAGCTTCCACTTACATTCTTCTGCATGGCAGATCTTTCTGGTATCTGGCTTTAAACGTGGCAGGCACAAGTCACTGGATAAGCCATTTTCAGTCATACATGCTACTGTTCTTTCCTTTACTCCCACTCCACAAGTCACTGAGCACTAGACATGGATAGCAATCAAAAGTTAGTTTAGAAGGTAGCAAATAATTAACATAAGTTTGTCAGCCAAATATCTTGGCATGCATTTGTGTTTGAGGCAGCTATCAAAAATCAGTTTGCACATCTGTACTCACCTTGGTCCACTTCCCCACTCTCCAGGTAGCTCCTTGTGAACATCCTTTGATATTACATGTATAAATGTATGGGGAGGGTGTTACTGGGCATTCTCGATATGCCACAGTTCGAAGGCCGTAGGCGTGCTTGTTTTGAACAGAATGGATTCCAACACAGTATGTGATCCTCTGCCGGTAATCCACCCCACAGCTGGCTGAACACTAAAATCAAATCCCCAAGCACAAGCATTATTTCTGCAGAGGTGAACCTTCCCACAGCATTGCAGCTACAGGTAAATCATCCCTCATTTTGGCAAAAGCCTCTAATCCTGTGTGACATCTCAGTTAATCAGTGTGCAGAAGTGAAGGTCTACAGTAATTACACACCCAAGGAGATCTTCTCAGAGCTCATGGAGGTTCCAGAGCAGTTCCCTCTCAGCTGCAGTACATGCACATACATGTAGGTAGTGCAAGGGAAACAAGGGACTGATTCCACATTTCACTGAAATCAAGGAAGGAATTTCTCTTTGCTTCAGTGAGATCAGTTTGTAAGGATGTTTCCTTTGGAGCTAGCAGAGGAGTCTGGTGGTAAGGGCAGCTGTCCTCCAGCAGGTGTTAATATCTCCCAGTCAGGCTAACAGACGACAGTCAGTGTCAAATGGCAAAGGTAACACTCTCTGTTTCACCCCTGTATTATTTTATTTATGGTGACTCTCCCTTAATCATAACACTTAGCAAACAGTCCCTAGCACTGCCTATTCCTGTTCATGTTCCCACCACTACTCATTTTAGCATTATTTAGCATCCCTCATTACAGCAAAAGCTTCTCTAAAACCAAGCACTGTTTCTTTCTAATAACTTGTTATTCCATAGCCCTTACTAATCAGAGTTTGGTAGTAGTCAGACAGTTACTACAATAAACAATGGCTGATTGCAAGGTTCACTGTGAAGAAAGATGGGGCACCCTCGTTCAGATGAAAATATGCTTTTTTTCCCTCTGCACTCATAAAGTACATTTTACAGCAGTAAAATACTCTTCAGTGTAATGTTACATGAAAATGTATGAGCAATATCGTTAGTTTACCTGTGACAGATCTCCTGTAAGCACAACATACTTAGTGGGAGCTATCCTACAGTTTTTGGTTGATGGAGGCTTTGTGGCAGGATCACAGAAGCTTTCATCCACTTGAATCTGTTTTTCATCCACACACTTAACCTTTCGGTGTATTTCCTCTCTTCTATATGATGTCGAGCACTGAGTGTGAGAAAAACAATCATGGTATGTGGAACAAAACTGGTCATTTACAGAATAAAGCTATTTGTCAATTGTCACATATCACTAAAATTCAGATAGCCAAAACTTTTATGACGTGTTATCAGAATTGGACCGAATTACTCACTGAATCAAAATCCTTTATTTTCATTGCTCAGATACCTCCAATCAGCTGCAAAAACAACAGTACATAATGGCATGACACTGCAATTGTTGGGTGAGATGGAGCAGAAAATAAAAATGTCAGGCTAAGATGATAGGTTGAGTGAAAAAGCTCTTCTGCATGAAAAGGAAACAGTCAAGATAGGATTAAAATGAAATATGGAAAGAATAACTCGGTCTTGAAAACAAAACATAAATAATCCCTGGAGGCACAACGTGATATTACACTGATAAAACAAAAGAAAACAGAACTGGCTATTAGTAAAACCAGGGGCAGTTCTGGGCAGCAGTCTCTACTGAGACTGTGCCTTTGCCCCACATGTCCTCAGATGTCCTTCCATGGCAGGTTTGTGAGACTGAGCATCAGCAGCAGCTCTGCCAGCATGGACTGTGAACCTTGCTGCCACCTAAATCCAGAAAAGAGGTACAGGCTGCATAATACAGAGGTACGGGCTATGTAATAATACAGGTCAACAGCATGTCCCCAGCTCCAGATGCTTAAACTAACCTCTTTGAACTGGCTGCGATAAAGAAGGAAGGCTCAAATACATAAACTCCAGTCTCAGTGGATGCATTAATCAATACCACTGTCTACTTGGTACTTTTGACTCTGAGCATAACTTTATATGGATTTGGACCCAACCACAGTCAATTAGGAGACTCATCAAGGTCTGATGTATAGGCCAAATTTATCATTCAAATTTTATTGTTATTGACTCAAAGTGGCAACCTGAAGTACAGAAAACAGATGTAAGGTAGAACAGCTCTGTGAGAGGAAACCTCTAATTTTATCAAGTTTCCTTGAAGACCTTTAAGAGACTGCACAACTTCCCTGGGCAGTCCATTCTACTGCCCAAAATGTCTTCATGGGGGAAAAGTTTTTTCCTAATAGCCAGCTCGAACCTCTGGCTTCACTTTATTCCTGTTGTGTCGTCCCACCATGCAACACTGTGTGGAGACCCTGACTCCATCTTCTTTGCAACTTCTTTGTAGATACCTAAGGCTACTGATAGGTCTCCCCAAAGCCGCCTCTTCTCTAGGCTGACCAAGCCCAGTTCCCTCAGGTTCTCCTCATGGGCAGGTTGCTTGGCCCCCATCCAGCCTCCCATTTGTCAATGTCTTTCTTGCACTGGGGAACCAAAAGTGAATGTAGAAGCTACGCATGGTCTAACAAGTGCTGAGAACAAGGTATCAGTCCACTTGATGTACTGTCAGGTCTCTGTAGTATGGTCCAGGCTGTCACTGCTGCCAGCCATATGGCTGGCCCAGGCTCAGCGGCCACCAGGCCTCTGGGCTGCTCCTCCCAGCCTGGGCTGCTGCAGGATTGCTTCATTCCCAGGGCAGTACTTTGCTTTTGTCTTGTTGAAATGCAGAAAGTTGCCATCGGCCCATTCCTCCAGTGTGTCTGGACCCCCTGGATGGCAGCCCTGCCCTCCAGCATATTAACCCATCTCCACAAGTTGGTGTCACCTGCAAACTTCATGAGCAAGCACTGAGCCCCAAGCAACTGCTTTAGAAATTTCAGTGACATAAATACACTGTTGAAAGAAGCTGCAAAATATACACCTGGGCATACAAACCACTCTTGACCAGAAAGCTCTAAACAAGCTGAGACCGAGGTAAACAATCATTCGGATGAAAAGCTTTAGCCTTCTATTCTCTTCATGTGAGCAAGAAATTAATAGGCAAAACAATCAGTGATATCATGTTACTGATGTGGAAAAACAACAGCCTTATTCCATCTGAGATCAGCTTCTCATCACTCTTTGTAGCGGGCTTTTTTGGAGGAAAAAAGAAAAAAAAAAGACAAAAATTCACTTGCATTAGGTAGGAGTAAGGTTTTAACACCTGAAGGAGAAATTCAAGTATTGACTCATGATTAGGGAATTAAGTGCTTATAATGTCCTAGTCTTGCCATCTGAGTGCTTGCCAACTTTCTTGAAAAGGTGAGGATGGTGGGAAATCAGAGAGAATAATGGGTGTAAACCAGAGAGAGAGCTTACCTGCCTGTTCAGAAAATCTACAAGAGAATGGGGCTCAGTAGTGGAAGCCATATGTGCATTAAGCCTTTAAGAAATCCCATCACTCAGAGAGTGAAGATGTGTGGACTTGTATCAGGGGTGCAGTGTGGATACAGTTGGCTGTTGTAGCTTACAGAGACATCTCACCTTTTAATGGCGTGAAGTAGGTCAGAATATTAGGCACATGAGGAAGAACCCAATAATTAGGTAATGAGGACAGGCAGAAAACTACTTTTCATTATGCCTTATATATTGTTCCAGTAGAGATTCTTCTTTTTAGTATGAAAATGCATATGCGGTATGAAAAAGCTGGCTGCTTCTAATAGCCAGCCTCCCAGCTGTAAACTGTACAAATGCTAGATCTGGAAATTTTTCTCATATGCTGTGACTAGTGAGGCAAGGAAATGACACACGAACACTCAGAGCACAGACAGCTGGGGAAAATATTCTGAGTTTGAGTACATACTGCACCAGGAGAAGGATACAGATAAACACCTGAAGAGTTACTATCAATGCTCAGGGTTATGCATGAATCTGGGAGGGGGAAGAGAATTGAACACAGGAATTTCAAGCAAACAGCAGTAAAAATGTGGAAAAATTTAGGAAGTAGACAGATGATGTTGTGAAACACAATGCATTTGTAGCGAAGAGCTCTTAATACGCATCTGGAATATACAAGTGTTTGATAGGAAAGGAAAACTCACCCTCACTTTCTGAAAATGTACATTTCTGATAAAAGAACGTTCTGAGCCATTTCTGCTCTAATTCCTGATTTTAACAAGTTCACATTAGAAGTGAACACTTGGAAGAAACCTATATTGTCACCTTTCTCAATGTGGCTTAACAGATGATTATATGCCAGAATTGCATGAATATTATTCGGTTTTTGCAAAACACCAGCAAATAATTTATATACTAGCAGTAGCCTCTTCTACATCATTAGGTCTCTGACACTTTTGAGTCTTCATATTCAAAGCTTCAGAAGGGTTGCCCTAAAAAATGTAACGCAACAGAATGAAGATGCTGCAACTGCACAAACTAAGTTTTTGTTTAATGTTACAGTAAGAGACGGGCTCTCCTGTACACCATTTCAGGTATTATCCAGGATTTTGTTTTCTCTCTCCCTCAATCTATATGTGCATACATGGATACAAAACTTATTTTTGCATGTAGAAAATAGTGATCACGCTAAAATAATAATAATAATAATAATAATAATAATAATAATAATAATAATAATAATAATAATAATAATAATAATAATAATAATAATAATAATAATTCTTTCCTGAAAGCGTCGTTAGATTTTCTTGAGTATATGTTTGCTTTTGTTGCTTCTTTTCTGGTAAGTCTGCCATATAGAAGTTCTTGAAAAAAACAACAAAAAAAAATCCCAAAGATTTTACTGCTGAGGTTTTTACTTCCAGCTGATGTTTCATCTGTATTTCTCTTCCTAAAGAAGTGTTTTTTGCATATTTCATCATTAAGTTTTATTAAAATTTTTTTGCAATATATAAAGACCTTTGTAATAAAATAACACAATCGTATCATTGGGGACCTACCACAGCAGTTTTGCAAATTTGACCTTCAAAATATCCAGCATGTTCACTTGTTATTCTGCAACATAAAGGCTACTAGAAACATATCCAAAGCTGAAAAAGTAGGAAAACTCATTACATCACTCATAGTTACTTCATACAAGTTGAAAGCCTTACTTACATCTTCCCATTCATCTGCCAACCAGTGGTACTGCATACAGGCAGGCAGCCAACAGCGCCTCTGGCTAGTGGGCCGTGCAGCGTGATTACACGCAGCTTCATTCACTTGACCCAAGCCCTTCAGCTGACAGTAGATGTCCCTTTGCTGAATCCCCACTCCGCAAGACACAGAACACTGAAATAGATCAAAATTAGTCATGTCAGTGTGAAATGAGACAGTCAACAGAAAGTAGCGCAGTTTCCATTAGTGAGTGTTATTAGAATATTATTTAAAATACACTCTGCAGACCCCACCATATTATCTGAATAAATTTACGATGAAAATGTACGTTACAATTAAAATCAAAGCCTCTAAGATATACAGAAAAAAATGCATCCAATATGCCTAGATTGATCTGTCTGCTTATCTTAATTCACAGTAGGAACAATCAGCATATGCATATGCAAAACAGAAGTTTAAGGGTTTGCAGGATCAAACAGTTCAAAGTACTGAGTTCACCTTATTTCATTATTCAATTGAAGAATGTCAGTCTTGCCTATTATTGTAAAATGCAAATATTAAACTGAAAGAAAAAGAACCTCAGTATTTCATTCTAGAAAAATCTTGCAAATGATGCAGCATTTTGAGGCTATTGTCTCTCTTTTGCAGGTAGTACTAAGGATTTTAAATTATGATGAGCTTAAAATAGTTCAAAACCTGTCTACCATATGTCTCTTCTCCTTATCTCTGGCCAAAAGGAGTTAACTGCAATGGTAGTTTACTAAGCAATACTTAATACAAAGACTTTGCTGCAATAGACGTTCTCTTTTACCCCAGTCAGAAGCACAGTTAGATCCCAAAACATACCTAAAGACTCAACCTAATCATAAAGCAGATATTGCTCTATCAGATGTGGCAGAATTGTGGAGATTGGTAATACATGGCAGCCTGCATTTTATCACCACCATTTTGGAACGGAGCTTGCATCACCCCCTCCTGTAATATCCAAAGTTTCCGTGTTTCCCTCTAAAAGGTTGAGTCTGGGTCTTTTAATGAAATCACAGAATTACTAAATGGTTAAAGGTAGATAACACTAGAGAGCATCTGTTTCTGTACCTTGTGTATCCTTCAACACTCCTTATCACTCAGGTATGGTCTTTAATGCTTGGGGTAGTAACACACATTCTCTTTTCAAAGTCAATTGTTCTTTATTCTTGTTTTTCAATCTGAGTGTAATAGCCTACCAATTTCTCTGATGTGTGAACTCACATGCATCAGTCTTATCAGGACATGTGAATTAACATTCCTGACTTTTGTACAATCTCTACCTCTAGCCCCTGTTTTAGGCAGCAGCCAGGCCCTTACTGCACCCATTTCTTTTGACAGATAAACTCTCCCTCTCTAGGGTGTCCTGGGTCTGCTAGTAGCAATCATCTGAGACTGATCATTTTTTTCCATAATAGGAATTTCTATTGTGATTCAGAAATGTTACACTGATGGATTAATACAGGAGGGTAAAACAAAAGTCTACAAATGAATGACAAAACCAAAACCTGTTTGGAACATTTTCTTCTTCTTTCATACTGTTTGAGTTAAACCAACATACTACCTATTGACCTCAGGTGAAAAGGAAAATAAAATGGAAGAGAGATATTTCACTCTCCATGCAATTCTTCATAGATCTGTGGAGCAAGAGAATGACCATGTAGGTTAATGGTTATGCCATTTGCTTGAAAAGATGATCTGGTTTCTATTTCTCAAATAAAAGAAGTATTTTTGCATTTAACAGAAAACAAGGCATCAGCTGTGATCAGCTTTAGAGCAAACTTCTAAATGGAAATGGGTGTTTTCCTATATGAGAAGGTATGAAAATATTGAGTGAAATGCAAAATACTGCAATGTGCTGAGCTGAACACAATTTTGCAACAGCTGCCTGGTGGAAAAGAACCTGGGGTTCTGGTCAGTAGTCGGCTGAATATGAACCAGCAGCGTGCTCAGGTGGCCAAAGTCCAATGACATCCTGGTTTGTGTCAGAAATAATGTGGCCAGAAGGAGCAGGGAGGAGATTGTCCCCCTGTACTCAGCTCTGGTGAGGCCGCACCTTGAGTACTGTGTTCAGTTTTGGGCCCTTCACTACAAGAAGGACATCGAGGCCCTGGAGTGTGTCCAGAGAAGGGCTATGAAGCTGGTAAAAGGCCTGGAGCACAAGTCCTGTGAGGAGTGGCTGAGGGAACTGGAGTTGTTTAGTCTGGAGAAGAGGAGACTCAGGGGAGGCCTTAGTGCTCTCTACAACTACCTCAAAGGAAGTTTGTAGAAGGATAGGGGTTGGTCTCTTCTCCATAACAAAAAGTGATAGGACAAGAAATGACAGCAAGTTGCACCAAGAGAGGTTTAGGTTGGATATTAGGAAAAATTTCTTCACTGAAAGGGTTGTGCAGCATTGGAACAGGCTGCCCAGGAAAGTGGTTGAGTCACCATCACTGGAGGCATTCAGAAGATGTCCTTAGGAACACGGTTTAGTGGTAGAATTGGCAGTGCTAGGTTAACTAGGTTGGACTTTATGATCTTAGAGGTCTTTCTAACCTAAATGATTTTATGATTCTAACAAGGTGAGAGATATTTTACAACCTCAATATGGGGTGGAGAGACCATGTATTTGTGTCCACAAGCCATTTTTCTTCTCCTTCCCCCACAAACCTGGCTTTACTTCAATATTCAGACTATGACAGCAACAGCAGCAGTACTACTGAATTTGTCACTGTAGGTGAGAAGTAAACTTCTAAATTTTACCGATATTTTGAATTTTCAAGTCATGGAAAGTTGCAAGTAACAATTCTGTATAAGGTTCAGATTACCAAATACTTTAAATCTTCAGAGATATTTCTTGTAAAATATTGAAAAAAAAAAATGAACTTCTTACAGATATTCAAATTTAATTGTGATTTGCATGTAAAAATTTGCAGACACTTATTTTGATTGAAGCACTGTGTTATGAATATGATATTGCCTTGTAATTTTATAGAAGAGAAGAACATAATTATAGCAGACTTCACATACCTCTTTCCATCTGCTTGCTTTCCAAGCAGGACATCTTCCAGCTCTACAGATTTTGTATGTCCGTGGTTTTTTTAAATGTCTGCAGTTTCCTTCCTCTATTTTAGCTTGGAAGCTGTTAAAGCAATGCACATCACGATACTTCAAACCTTTTCCACAGGAAACAGAACACTGAAAAGAGAAGTATGTTTCATTACTTCACTAAAAATCTCAGAGTAATAAGAAAACCCGAAGAATCTGTGGAAGAGCCCCAGATGGGCTCTACAACTATATGAATAAGCCTCTATATTCTGACATATCTACTTCACGTATCTGAAATTTCTATGCCATTTCTATTGTACCTAGCATTATTGATCAGATCCACATCACACATTGCTCTTTCATTCAAATAGTCACTGATGAATATCTGAGCTCAGTCTCCCATGCCAGCTTGATATTACAACCTTCTGTTCCTACTAAGGATATTGCTATTTTCATGTATGCATTATGCTTACCATGCTTAATATAAGCTTTAAAAAAAGAAAAATGCAAAATATGGATATGATGTTTCCAACCATTAGGCTATGAAGTCAAGCTTGCTCTGACACCTTTCCAGGAGCTTTGGGTATCTCACTGTGTGTGGCACAGAGGCCAGAGAAGATGTATTAAGCAAACTTTCCAGTTTACAAAGCAGGCCTTGGAGATTCAACCCTGCCCCTGATCTCCCCTGGCTCTTCTGTTTCTTCCAGAAAATTGCTATGATATGCCAGGCTAGCTCTAGGACATCTCCCACTCTGACATAATACCACTGGAGCTGAAGACATATTTTATGAAGCCCATCCCAACAGTATGTGTTTGACATGAGTAGGGCGCATCTGACAGATAATTCTGTTTTGGAGAACGAGCCATTACTCCGCTAACCTCCTGGGCTGCAGTGAGGTTGGTCTTGAACTCTTCAGACCAGGGCTATCCCTGTCACCTGCAAAACAGAGCTGCAGGTCGCAGGGAACTTTCAGTCAAACAGAGTACCTGAAGCATTTACAAATGAGGTGGCAACTCAGCTGGATTATTTTGGATCATGAACTTTCTAAAAGCAAGCACTTAAGTCTTTTTCTTTTCTTATTTTTCTTTTTTATTTTTTCTTTTTGTTAACCTTTCTATTTTCCTGGAGAAGAGAAGGCTCCAGGAAGACCATATAGCAGTCTTCCAATACCTAAAGAGCATATACTGGGTAACTGCCAGTACCTACAGGGGGCCTGCAGGAAAGCTGGGGAGGGACTCTTGGTCAGGGAGTGTAGTGATAGGACAAAGGGAAATGGCTTTAAACTAAAAGAAGGCAGATTTAGATTAGATATAAGGAAGGAATTCTTTACTGTGAGGGTGGTGAGGCCCTGGCACAGGCTGCCCAGAGCAGCCCTGGAAATGTTCAAGCCCAGGCTGGGTGGGGCTTTGGGCAACCTGGTCTAGTGGGAGGTGTTCTTGCCCATGGCAGGGAGTTGGAGCTCGGTGGTCCTTGAGGTCCCTTCAAACCCAACCCATTCTGTGATTCTATGATCATTTTAGCTTTCCAGTTAATGCAACTGATAAATCATCTGAAATTTTATTTTTTGTTGCTTTGAGAGACGGTAAGTTATAGAATTTTGCCAACTCATAGGAAAAAATTCACTTTTGAATAATACTTTTTCCAGGGAGATTTTTCACTTCATGTTAATGTAATGTTATATGGAATAAACTAAAAAGGTGCATTCAACAGGTCAGGATTATGGGGGAAAAAAATATCTGAAAAGTGCAGTAAATCCTTATGGGCAAAGTGTAAGCTTTCCAGAAATACAGGAACAGCGTTTCAGTATACAGATTTGGCATTGTTTTCTTTCACATATTCATCAAATTACAGATCTGTATTTCCATGTATCCAAATCTCCTATTTAACAGATCTTACAGTAAAACAGAAACTTCACCATGCAAGAGGTAATTCACTACTGTTCTGATACTAGGGGTTTCAACTTATGAGCTTTTTGAAGTTTTGTTCTTTATTATTATTTTTATTTTTAACTGAAAAAGACATGAAGTAATGCTGAAGTTTAAGTCATTTAGGTTAATGCATGGTTGTTGTTTCACTGAAGGAATGAAAACATCTTATTAGTAAAAAACACAAATAAAAAGACAGCAGACAGTAAGTAGCTGTAAACTTCTGCTTAAATACGATCGTGCAAATTTAAAAACAAGTAAACCACAAAACTAAGTAATTGCAAGCAGTTTTGCTTGAGTCAGGCACTTGGGGTACTGTGTCTCCTGGTACTTCATGGAGAAGCTGCTGGCACCTCCAGCACAAGACAGATTCTTATATGCACTGCAGCAAGCATCTCCCACCAACACCAGTGAGAGGAAGAGAAACCTCAGTATCTGTGGATTGGACCCTTTGAAACTCCAGTGGGGCCTGGATGAAATTTAGACAACTAATTCCAAGACTGTTATCCTTAGTCTTGCATCCACGTCAGCTGCAGAAGCACTTAGGCAGCACTGAGCCCCAGTCTAAGACATTAAGAAATTTCTGTGAGAGTAATTCTACAACCGTTTAATAGACTGACCGGCTTACATCCCCATAAGGATGATCAATACCCTAAAAACAGTTTTTTATCCCTTTCCACACTGTCAGGCTAAAAAAGCAATTCCTCTTAAGAGTACACTGGTAGCAGAGCAGGCACCTTACAAAACACGCTGATACACAATATTTAATGCAAACAAAGAAAGAGCAATGCTCCCTTTTTCTTTTCTTCTATATGTGCAAATGCACTCACTCTGGATATAGATGATCCAAGGATCATCAATGGAAAACTCAAGAGGGCATATTACTCTGTAGGTATAGTATTCTCCTGAAAGAGGACACATTCTGGATTCATTCCATAGATAATACATTAAAAATATTTCTTAGAAGGATTGTTTCCTCCACAAAATGCCTGGGCATTGGATGCAGGCAGGCTCAGGTGTGCAGCACACCTGAGCTCCTTACTGGACAGTGGCCCACCCTCAACAAGGCAAATGAAGACTGCTCCCGTCCAACACAGCTTCTCACTGGTAACTCCTGGCCAGGTGGGGGTTGCCTGTCCTCCAGCACAGAGAGTAAATACCAAAGAAAGGAAACCAGGTATCTCAAATGATGAATCAAAAGCTTTAATCAATGTGAAGTGGGGATGCATCTTCTAGCTTTATGTAAAGATGGATCACAGCTGATGCTCAGTTCTTTGAATGAGAAACATAGGTTCTGTGCAAGATCCCAGACTGGGAATCCCAAGTGTCTAGAAGTATCTACATACAGCTTACAGTGAGGTATCCTGTGTTTAGCTCCATTGCCATCATATATGTTTTCCTTAGAGTTGCATATTGCACACACTGACCTAGCGCACCAGTACAAAGCATCAGATTTTCACCTGCACTGGACAAAGGCCTCATTCTGTGCTCTGGAATCCACTCATGTCCTTTTACTGAATCTAGACTACAGTACATTTCTTAGGAGGGTGAGTTTTGCACTCCACAAGCCTGTATGCATATATTTGAAGCTCCTAATACATTACTACAGGCTATTTGTGGAATCTGGTTCTCTTGCTGCTGGGTGCCCAGTCTGTTCTGTGAGATGCTCTGGTAATGATCTTCCCAAGGCTTAACTCTCCTGACTGGGAGAAGTATAACGGCACTTAACTCTTGCTGCTTGACTTCCTTCTACTCAGTAAATTTGCATGTGGCCAAGAACAACTTGGTCCTTACAATTCAAGACATCTGTAAAGTGGCTTCATTTGTACCACATTCCACATGATTGGAGGCTCATGGAGAGGACATTTTTTCCATACATTTTCTGTGGATTGCATGTGTAGAATAAAAATCCATAAGAACTTTAAATCTCAAAATAAATACAAACTTTTTTTTTTTTTTTTTTTTTTTTTTTTAATACTAGTTGAAAAAACATCCTGTAATCATTTTATACAGAAATTCTAGCACTTGTCTCAACATTGGCTAAAGTAATATTTCCCATATGTCAGGTTCTTTTAAAAACATAAAACTGCAGCAAAAAGCTGGACTTGATTACTATTGTTCAAAGTCATTCCATAACACTGGTAACTAGGATTCATCTGTTTGTTTTTTTCATAGCAGTAAAATTCTACAAGGATCAGCCTGACAGGACTCCTGGTGCCTTCCACAGCACAGACTGATGCTCAGGCAGGCATGCCATCATCAGGTCCTACCAAATTAAGGCTCTCTCTGCAGCTGACAGCTGTAGTTTCACAAAAACCTTACTAAAAAAAAAAGTTTTTTGATGCTTTTACTATCAGCATTATTTCATTTCAAGGTTGAAGACTTTGGATTATTTGGTGGATTTCATTCTAAATTTCCTTAACCTTTTCTTTCAACGGAGCATTTTGCGTAGCTTAGCTGGAGCTTACCAGGCTTTGAGAGACTGAAAAACAAACCAGTAAATGAGAAGCATATAACAGTGTCTCTTTGCATTCATATTAGCCATAAAGAGACTTAACACAGAAATGAATGTGATCAAACAGAGTGCTTTGCCACTAAAAATGATAACAAATATTACAGAAATGTAATGCTTTTTTAAAATGTGTTCTTTTTCTTTTCCTTTTTATTTTTTTATTTTTTTGTCTGGCACTTCTGTGACTGGACAAGAAGAATTTAAAACATGACAAAGATAACAGATCAGAAAAATTCCAGTCCTATAGGGTTGAACACAGTAGTTGCTTGAGTTGTCTGACAAACCACATTTTGATCATCTCTGTTTGGCCCAAGAGTCTGTTTGGGCTCTTTTAAAATTATATTAGAGGTAGACTGGGACCACTATTGCACAAGACACTCATAAAACATGCCTTTGAGCACTACCCAGTTGTGAGTTGTTTCAACACTTCCTTTGCTGTATTAGAATTAATTCTTCCTGTGCCTGCCTCCTCTCTACTAGCTGCATCTCCCCAGGGGCCCGTGTGATGCTTGAGCATGAAACAGGTATGAATGAAAGCCTTCAGAGGAAAGCTTTCACAAAGCTGTCCTTCCCTTTACATTTGTAGACTACTGTCAAGAAGTAACACAGACTCTGAGAAGTGGTCCTACTGAATTCTTGGATTCAGAGATTTTTTCACTAAAATGAGCACATATAGCCTGTGCCATTAGCTCAAGCAATCAGAAAGGACCAT